GAGGGCTTGCCAACTTGTCGAAGAGAGGATCCGCGGCCTGCTCGGACATGCATTCTCCCGAGTCTTCAGCCATCTCCAGAACGTCGACCCCAACTTCGACTTTGATGCCGCCATCGCTCCCGCACCCGAGGCCATCCGGGGCGACCTGTCGCGATGGGTGGAAGACAATGTGGACGCGTTGGTCAGGGCCTTCACTTCCGACGATGATGGGGTGGTGGTCACGGTGGACGCGGGCGACGTGGTCGACGACGGGGATGGCAGCGCTGGTGGAGGTGATGATGATGCCATCGATGGTGGTAACGATGCCAGCGATGGTGGCGGCGTTGCCAGCGACGCGTCTGAGGGCGATCCAGGGGATGCGGTGAGCGACATGTCCGACTGATTCCGTGCTTCCCAGCTAATTGTTGTGCACACAGAAGCTCGGGCGTAGCCCTTGAAGTTGTAAGAGCATTTTTTGGAGGGGAAGCCCCTCTTTTAAGTGTGCTACTGCCTTTATTTTGTTAGGTCTAGTTGAATATGTATCTTTGTGGACCCACGTGCCCTGGGGCGAACTTGTTGTTGCGGTTTACCTTAGCCTGGGCGAGCTTAAACCGGCTCGTGAGGTTGGAAGCATCGGAGGAACTCGCCAAGACACTCGAGAAGGCCGCGTGATAAACGAGCGCTTGCCGGGGCGCGGCACGCGCGTGGCGCATGTACGTATTGCTCAGCCCCACTCGAGAGGGGCCCACGTGGGGTAAGCAGCAGGCACAAACTCCGAGATAAGGCAAGAACCAAACAACAAGAAATTGCTCGAACGAGAAACGGCAACCCCCGCGCGCATCAATGAAAATTCAACTTCTACTCAAATCCAAATCCAGAAGGCAAGGCTACAAAAAAGGGACCCAAAGCAAATGGACACGTCTGGCACCTAGTCTAGTCTTCTTGTCTTCAAGTCTTCTCACCAGCGCGGTGCTAAGTGCTGCCACTAGGACGTGGGAGGGAGCCCCCGAGGCCCAAGGGCGGCACTCCTGAGACTCCGGGGCATGTACAGCCCCACTCGTTATTACGTGAGAGTGTCACGGGCGGCGATCTTCACAGGCGTGAGCCTTACTTCATATCGCCAGACGAGGGCCCCGCCTTGCGCTGCCCCCTACCACCGCCGGGTCGACCGGAGACAAGGACGGCACCAACGAGGGCAGAGGGGACGCCAGCGGCGCCCTCGGCGACCATAGGTCCTCTGCCGGGGATAGGCTCTGGAGCACCTCCCTGCTAGAGGGCTTACCTCCAGGGGATGCCTTGTTCCGTGCGGTGCTGAGGAGGGGCTTCATCCCGGCTTCCTTCCCGCAGCCCCCAGCGTGCCCCCCCCTGGCGGGAGGGAGGCCGACGAGCCGGGACCGCCTTCTGCTGCTGCGACCTGATCCCCCTGCGTACCATGGTTAGCGTAAGCCTGCTCCTGAGGAATTAGTGGTACCCTGTAGCAGTTGTCATCAGCGCGGTTGGAGAGTCTCCCAGAGGGGTCTTGAAAGGCGCCAGCTTCTAGCGCCTCCTCCTCCCAGCCCGCCTCGAGGAGCGAGCCAGGGTCGCCTTCCAGCACGTACTCCTGGTCCACCATGCGGGCCACGTATGCCTCCAAGGCCGCAGCCTCAAAGACCTCGCCGTAGTGCCCCACGCTCCATGTCGCCCGACCCAGTGTGCCGCCTTGACGATGGTAGGGCTGCATCCCGCCCGGACCGTAGGTGGCAGCGCTCGTGCCAACACCCAGCAAAGGTGGCGCGGGCGCGAGCGGGCGTGCAGCCCCGTTGGTCACGCCGGTGTCGACGAAGGCTCGTGGTGCGCCTGTAGGCACGCGGGCGCGGCGTGGCCCTCCATGCGACCCGGCTGCAGCTCGTGGCGTGAGCAGAGAACAGAAGGGCGGCGCTCCTGAAGCTGCGGCGTCCAGTAGCTCGGTGACGCGCTCCAGCAGTGCATCCTGGCCGCTCTCCGTCAGTCGGCATCGTAGCAGCTCCCGTGCCACCGTGAGTGCAGCTCGCATGTTTAGCTGCTCCCTACGGGTGTGCGGCGCCGTTTCTGCGGTGTGGCTTGCGGACCTTGCAGCAGCCCACACCTCTCATGCGTGGAGGCTGGACGACGCCTGGCCGCGCTGCCCGCGCCCCGCAGTGTCAGGCGGCGCTCGTGCCGCCTGGAGCGTGGGGTGAGGTCTTCCCGGGCAGGCGGCGGCGCCCGGGCTGGCCAGGCTGCCCAACGGTCGGCGTTGGTCCTTCAGTCGCTGGACATCGGAACTGCAGAGCGTCGGTGAATCTACTGGCGGGAGAGAAGCTCTGGCGCACCCCTACCTGGCGCGCCAAATGTCGGATCACGGGTTCCGGCAAAACCCTCAAGGTTCCAACACTGGGGTACGCGCGAAGAACTCCACCCTACCGATCCATGTCCTAGCTCAGCTAAGATCTTACGAACTAACTCGACGAACTCACAACACAAAGGACACAAGATTTATACTGGTTCGGGCCACCGTTGTGGTGTAATACCCTACTCCAGTGTGGTGTGGTGGATTGCCTCTTGGGCTGAGGATAAATAGTACAAGGGGAAGAACATCCTCCTGAGGAGAGGTGTTCTTGTGCTTGGTGAACTTGTGGTTGTCCTGGTCTCTCTCGATCTGACCTCTCCCTAGCTATGGTGGTGGCTAGTTCTATTTATAGAGGCCCTGGTCCTCTCCCCAAATATTGAGCGGGAAGGGAGCCAACAACGGCCAATTTGAAAGGGGACAGCTAGTATAGGTTATCCTGACAAAACAGTCTTCGCCTGCAAAAGGCTCTGATGGTGACGTTGTCCTGGGCTCCACGGTGACCCCCGTCTTGCCATCCTTCTAGTCTTGGTCTTGTTGCACTGATATTGAAACCTTTGCTTGACGCCTCGGTACTCCGCGCCTGCGCCTGCTTCCTTAGCACCGAAGAGGAAACAAGGACACTGTGCGCGCTGGCGCACGCCTGGCGCCCGCCTAGCCTTGGTCGTCATGACTCACGTCACTAGAACATCGCAAGGTTTGCCTGGCCTTGAACTCTCCACCCCTCGCGAGCCAGCCTGGTGAGGCCGCTCCTGAGGAGGTCTTGTGTCGTCCCCCTCGCGAGTCTTGGCCCCTCGCGAGGGTCTTGAGTCCTTGCTGGTGAAGATGGGCTGTACGGGCACGCTCGCAGAGCCACGCCGTGGGCCGTAGGCAGGCAAGTCTGGGGACCCCCGTTCCCAGAACGCCGACACTATCAAACTACCTGTTACCGACAATTTCAGTGCTTGCAAAAATTACCTTGCTGAAAACTGCTTGTCATTTCCTTATGCTCCTCGTTGGGTTCGAAACTTTTACTTATCTAAAGGACTACTATTGATCCCCTATACTTATGGGTCATCATGGTGTTCGATATGTCAAGACCGGGATTTCCTCCTCCGATGATTGCGAGATACACTTTGGCCCCACTCGATATTACGATATCCATCATTGCTTGACCAAGCATAGTGGCTAAGGTGTTAGTTATGGGGACACCAGAATACAGTAACAAGGAAAATAGTGCGAACCGGTAACGAGAATAACTAGGTATTGATCATAGGGATACCCAAAAGTCTCGCATTTTTGGGTAATATCACAAATTAAAGGGATTTGTCTACAATAATAGAATGTTCACTCGATAAAGATCTTTGTTAGTATGTGATAATTATTATGGGTGTACGGATCCCGTTAATAATTATTGACCGGAAGTTGTTTCAGACATGTTCGAATATTATCGAACGTGTAGGGTCACACGCTTAATGGCTAGTGTTCTTGTGATAATAGAACTAGGAGATAATGGAGAATGAGACAATCGACTCCCGAAGTGTTCCTGTGATGCCGTGGAGTGTCTTGAATGGTCCCAAAAATTTTGGGAAGGTTATGAAACTTTCGGAAGGGTCCAAAAGATTATGAAATCTTTCAGAATATTCTGGAGGGTCCATAGTAGGTTACAACCCTTGCTAGTTAAGGTGCATAGCCCATCTAGGCCCAAATTCGGCAAGAAGTGGCAAAACTTTGGGGGGGGGGGGGCAGAAGTGGTCCACCCGGGAAAACTTGCTAGTGCAACAAAACACACACATCTGTTGTGTTGAGTTGTTTCCCCGGTGACCACATTCCGGCGACTACATGCACAACCATTCGGGTGTGCAGACCTCTGAAGCCGCGTCCCGTGAGAACCAGCACCAAACGAGGAGCGAAAAGGTTCTTGGGGAGTGTTTCAATGCGATTGTCCCCTCAAGTTCGACTACATTCTAGACGACGGTCTCTTTGCTTTGACTACTTTCTCTACCCGGGACGACCATCTTGTTTCACCATCCTTGCCGAAGATGTTGTTGCGTCAGTGTCTGATGCCCTAGTATGTCCTGAACCTTTCTCGCTTGACATGTGTCTTTGAGCCACCTGCATATGTGCTACGTGTTCCTAATCTGTTGGATGTGATTTGCCAGTAATCTATAGTGATGCTAATTTAAATTACAGTTAAAAAAACTGCCTAATTTCCTAACATATACAGTTCTACCCTTATAACCATGCTCTGCGTATGCTTTTCGCACTGTGCATACAGAGCCGATTGTCTGCTGCAGCATATCCAACCCCGGCAGTCAACGGACAATTGGCCGCCTATACGGATGTGGACGTCATCAACAATTTGAACCTGGGCAGAAGCCAAACTTACATACAAACCCGCACGAGAGGAATGTGCTCGTTGTCTGTCTAAACTAAATAGCCGAACGGTGACAGACAGGTGCAGAAGAAAGAAACATCGCAAATCAGATTCCACAGCGCATCACACGGCCAAAGGACACGGGTCCGAAAGCCTGGAGAGATACAGAATGCACACCACATCCGTTATTTTATTTTAACCCTTGAGAGCTGGCTCGCCGCCATTTCTTGACAAAGATTCCGAGCCAGGTTTTGTTTGATTTATTATTAGGACTACTGAGCTATCCATCCATCCACTAGGCTAGCGCGGAAGCCCTGTGCAGCATCACGGAGCACCTGCGGCCGCGGAAGACGCCTCTGGCGCCACAGTTGCCCGGCGGCGGTGGAGCCTCTTCTGGGAGCGCATGAATGAGTCCATGTGCTGCATCTTCAGCTGGTGGTGGAACTTGTTGATGAATTCGTCAGCGCGCGCGTCCACCTCGCCGCCGGCCTCCTCGATCTCCACCTCCGACGCCGGCTCCTCCGGTTCCGCCACCAGGGGACGGCGGCGCTCCGCGTCCCTCCTCGTCGCCTGCCTGCGCGCCTCCACCTCCTTCGTGTCCGACTCGGCCACGAAGTGCGCGAACGCCGGCTTGTCGCTCGCAGACTTGCGCAGCCGCGTCGGCAGCCGCGGCAGTTCGGCCTCGACCGCCGCCTCCGACATGCTCCTCTCCATGTGCGTGTGCTCGTCGTGCTCACCCTCTTTTGTAAACGCGTCGTGGTCACCCTGATCCTCCGGCTCAATCTGGAGCGGCGGCGGTTGCTCGTCGGGCTGTCCCAGATCCAGTACTCCGGTCACCGGGGCCTCAGGGGCGGGAGCGGTGAAGTGGGGCCGGTCGATTGCCATTGAATCCACGAGGGACAGGCTCCTCCTCTCGCCGACAGCCCCGGCCGGAGCGTCTTCTCCGCTCCCCGCCGAGGACGTGGCCCTGGAGGTGACGAATATGGTGGCTACGATGAGGTGTAGCACGAGGAACAGCACCCATGGGGTGAACCACCCGTGCACGGTGTTCCACAGCGCAGACATCCCCGCCTCCTGCATTCCGCCGCTTCTTTTTCTTCTTCGCCGAGTGGGGTTTGGGTTTTTGGCGTTTTGGGGGAGAGAGGCGGAGGTGGGGAAGGGGAGATGGTGGGGGCCTAGTGCGGGCGTTGGCCATTTATAAAGGTGGGAGGAGAAGCGGACAGTGTAAGGCCAGAATGTTTTTCCTTCTATTTATTTCTTTTTGCTGAAATGAAAAAGGAGGGTTTTATGATAAGCATTGCAGTTTCCATCTCCATGACTGTGTACAGCTTTGTTCATTGGCTTCATTGCCTATTTGCTCCTTGGTGAGGGGTGCAAAAAATACATATGCAAGGATACATAGTTTGCCGGACGACGCCACACGTGGATGGTGATCTAGTAAGCGTGCTTTCGGCGCTTGGCCGAACGCGAAAAAGGGGTGCCGGTTTTAATGTAAGAGATACATCGATGGGAGTTTTATGAATCGATAAGCGTCAATCGTGTATACAGCTTGGCATTGTATTAATTGCTGAAACTGAAATCCATGTCAGATTGTCATCGTGGAACACGAATGATAGACGAGTGATTATGAACCATGTGGATGGGTGGGACCTTAATCGAGAGGGTTTCGTGTCGAAATGCCCTCTTTAGGATGGTGCGACACGTGCAGGCTGATCTAACAAGTGTTTTTGGAGCGCCTATACGGGTCCAAAAGGGGCTGCAAGTTTTGGTGCTAGAGATGCTTCTATGAGGATTTTGCGGATATACGTAGAATTGTTGGTATGACATTTCATGATTGTGTTGGAGAACGCAGTATTTCAAAAAAAAATCTACGATCACGCAAGATCTATCTAGGAGATGCATAGCAACGAGAGGGGAGAGTGTGTCTACGTACCCTTGTAGACCGATAGCGGAAGCATTAAGAAATGCGGTTGATGTAGTCGAACGTCTTCGTGATCCAACCGATCAAGTACCGAACGCACGGCACCTCCGTGATCTGCATACGTTCAGCTCGGTGACGTCCCTCGTACTCTTGATCCAGTTGAGGCTGAGGGAGAGTTTCGTTAGCACAACGGCGTGCTGACGGTGATGATGAAGTTACCGGCACAGGGCTTCGCCTAAGCACTACGGCGATATGACCGAGGTGTGTATCTGTGGAGGAGGACACCACACACGGCTAAAACAATTGTCAACTTGTGTGTCTATGGGGTGCCCCCCTACCCCTAATATAAAGGAGGGGAGGAGGGGGCCGGCCGGCCCTCATGGTGCGCCCCCAAGGGGGGATTCCTACTCCTACTCCTAGTAGGAGTAGAAGTCCCCCCTTTCCTAGTCCTAATAGGAGGGGGAAGGAAGGGGAAGAGGAGAAGAAGGAAAGGGGGCCCGCCCCCCTACCAATTCGGATTGGGCTTGGGGGGGGGGGGCGCCCCCACCTCTTGGCCGACTCCTCTCTCTTCCACTAAAGCCCATGTAGGCCCATTAAGCCCCTGAGGGGTTCCGGTAACCCCCCGGTACTCCGGTATATGCCCGAACTCATCCAAAACCATTCCGGTGTCCAAACATAACCTTCAAATATATCAATCTTCATGTCTCCACCATTTCGAGATGACTCGTCATGTCCGTGATCACATCCGGGACTCCGAACTACCTTCGGTACATCAAAACACATAAACTCATAATACCGATCGTCATCGAACGCTAACGTGCAGACCCTACGGGTTCGAGAACTCTATAGACATGACCGAGACTCATCTTTGGTCAATAACCAATAGCAGAACCTGGATGCTCATATTGGTTCCTACATATTCTACGAAGATATTTATCGTTCAAACCATATAACAACATACGTTGTTCCCTTTGTCATTAGTATGTGACTCGCCCGAGATTCGGTCGTTGGTATCATCATACCTAGTTCAATCTCGTTACCGGCAAGTCTCTTTACTCGTTCCGTAATGCAACATCCTGTAACTAACTCATTAGTCACATTTCATGCAAGGCTTATAGTAATGTGCATTACCGAGAGGGCCCAGAGATACCTCTCCGACAAATTGGAGTGACAAACCCCAATCTCGATCTATGCCAACTCAACAAACACCATTGGAGACACCTGTAGAGCATCTTTATAATCACCCAGTTACGTTGTGACATTTGATAGCACACTAAGTGTTCCTCCGGTATTCGGGAGTTGCATAATCTCATAGTCATAGGAACATGTATAAATTATGGAGAAAGCAATAGCAATAAACTAAATGATCAATAGTTCTAAGCTAACAGATGGGTCAAGTCAATCACATCATTCTCTAATGATGTGATCCCGTTCATCAAATGACAACTCATGTCTATGGCTAGGAAACGTAACCATCTTTGATTAACGAGCTAGTCAAGTAGAGGCATACTAGTGACACTCTGTTTGTCTATGTATTCACACATGTACTAAGTTTCCGGTTAATACAATTCTAGCATGAATAATAAACATTTATCATGATATAAGGAAATATAAATAACAACTTTATTATTGCCTCTAGGGCATATTTCCTTCAGTCTCCCACTTGCGCTAGAGTCAATAATCTAGATTACATTGTAATGATTCTAACACCCATGGAGTATTGGTGTTGATCATGTTTTGCTCGTGAGAGAGGCTTAGTCAACGGGTGTGCAACATTCAGATCCGCATGTATCTTGCAAATCTCTATGTCTCCCTCCTTGACTTGATGGCGGATGGAATTGAAGTGTCTCTTGATGTGCTTGGTTCTCTTGTGAAATCTGGATTCCTTTGCCAAGGCAATTGCACCAGTATTGCCACAAAAGATTTTCATTGGACCCGATGCACTACGTATGACACGTAGATCGGATATGAACTCCTTCATCCAGACTCCTTCATTTGCTGCTTCCGAAGCAGCTATGTACTCTGCTTCACATGTAGATCTCGCCACGACGCTCTTCTTGGAACTGCACCAACTGACAGCTCCACCATTTAATAAAAATGTGTATCCGGTTTGTGACTTAGAGTCATCCGGATCAGTGTCAAAACTTGCATCGACGTAACCATTTACGACGAGCTCTTTGTCACCTCCATAAACAAGAAACATATCCTTAGTCCTTTTCAGGTATTTCAGGATGTTCTTCACCGCTGTCCAGTGATCCACTCCTGGATTACTTTGGTACCTCCCTACCAAACTAATAGCAACGCACACATGAGGTTTGGTACACAGCATTGCATACATGATAGAACCTATGGCTGAATCATAGGGAATGACTTTCATTTTCTCTCTGTCTTCTGAAGTGGTCGGGCATTGAGTCTGAATCAACTTCACACCTTGTAACACAGGCAAGAACCCTTTCTTTTCTTGATCCATTTTGAACTTCTTCAAAACTTTATCAAGGTATGTGCTTTGTGAAAGTCCAATTAAGTGTCTTGATCTATCTCTATAGATCTTGATGATTAATATATAAGCAGCTTCACCGAGGTCTTTCATTGAAAAATTCTTATTCAAGTATCCTTTTATGCTATTCAGAAATTCAGTATCATTTCCGATCAGCAATATGTCATCCACATATAATATCAGAAATGCTACAGAGCTCCCACTCACTTTGTTGTAAATACAGGCTTCTCCAAAAGTCTGTATAAAACCATATGCTTTGATCACACTATCGAAGCGTATATTCCAACTCCGGGAGGCTTGCACCAGTCCATAAATGGATCGCTGGAGCTTGCACACTTTGTTAGCACCTTTTGGATCGACAAAACCTTCTGGTTGCATCATATACAACTCTTCTTTAAGATATCCATTATGGAATGCAGTTTTGACATCGATTTGCCAAATTTCATAATCATAAAATGCGGCAATTGCTAACATGATTCGGACGGACTTAAGCATCGCTACGGGTGAGAAGGTGTCATCGTAGTCAACTCCTTGAACTTGTCAAAAACCTTTTGCAACAAGTCGAGCTTTGTAGACAGTAACATTACCGTTAGCGTCAGTCTTCATCTTGAAGATCCATTTATTCTCTATGGCCGGCCGATTAACGGGCAAGTCAACCAAAGTCCACACTTTGTTCTCATACATGGATCCCATCTCAGATTTCATGACCTCAAGCCATTTTGCGGAATCTGGGCTCATCATCGCTTCCTCATAGTTCGTAGGTTCGTCATGGTCAAGTAACACGACCTCCAGAACAGGATTACCGTACCACTCTGGTGCGGATCTTACTCTGGTTGACCTACGAGGTTCGGTAGTAACTTGATCAGAAGTTTCATCATCATCATCATTAGCTTCCTCACTTACTGGTGTAGGAATCACTGGAACTGATTTCTGTGATGAACTACTTTCCAATAAGGGAGTAGGTACAATTACCCCGTCAAGTTCTACTTTCCTCCCACTCACTTCTTTTGAGAGAAACTCCTTGTCTAGAAAGGATCCATTCTTAGCAACGAATATCCGTCCTTCGGATCTGTGATAGAAGGTGTACCCAACAGTTTCCTTTGGGTATCCTATGAAGACACATTTCTCCGATTTGGGTTCGAGCTTATCAGGTTGAAGTTTTTCACATAAGCATCACAGCCCCAAACTTTAAGAAACGACAACTTGGGTTTCTTGCCAAACCACAGTTCATAAGGTGTCGTCTCAACGTATTTTGATGGTTCCCTATTTAACATGAATGCAGCCGTCTCTAAAGCATAACCCCAAAATGATAGCGGTAAATCAGTGAGAGACATCATAGATCACACCATATCTAATAAAGTGTGATTACGACATTCGGACACACCATTGCGTTGTGGTGTTCTAGGTGGCATGAGTTGCAAAACTATTCCGCATTGTTTCAAATGAGGACCAAACTCATAACTCAAATATTCACCTCCATGATCAGATCGTAGAAACTTAATTTTCTTGTTATGATGATTTTCCACTTCACTCTGAAATTCTTTAAACTTTTCAAATGTTTCAGACTTATGTTTCATTAAGTAGATATACCCATATCTGCTCAAATCATCTGTGAAGGTGAGAAAATAACGATACCCGCCGCGAGCATCAACACTCATCGAA